TATAAACCAAAGAAATTGACATCCGTTTTCTTATTAAGTTGCTTAAATTTGGAACTGCTGTTATTAAAGCAAATCTAAAAAGCACAAAGCTTTTTGTCCTTTAGAAATGCCTATGCTAAGTTTGAAGCAACTTGAACACCTAAGTGCAGGCACTCCTGTTGTCCATATAATTGCCTAATCCTTTTGGAAGATCTGCTAAGTCTTTCACTTCAACAGTGTCCTACGGCAATGTCTTCTCCAGCTTAATTCTATTTGGGTGTATAAGCCAGAGGTCTGCTGCTTCACTGTTGCTAATGAGATATGGGGTTATGATTGCCAACTTTCTCCTTTGTAAGGAACAGGATGACAGTATTGAAGGATTTCTTGCATTGGACCCGATTTTCTATGCACATAAACATTGCTCGAGAAGAGCAGATTGCAAAGAAAACGTTTTGTTAAAAATGGAAAAGAAGGATTTCTGACAGATTTATCATTTCAAAGGATAATTGTAGTCAAGAACCATTCATTAAAATAATGCTATGTTAATAGTCTGCATTCAGCTGTCAAAAACCCCAAGAAAATCCCCCTCCCTTTTTGCCTGCAGGATGAGAGATTTTTTGCAAACCAACCAGTCACTCAGGTTTATTGGATAAAAAATAATAAACACAAGGAATAAAAATAAGGGAGGCAACTGCAAGGAAGGGATTGCGAAAGGGAAATCTGCAATGTTCACAAGAGCACATGAACCAGACCCCCATCAGTGACTGCACTTTTGTTGACCTAAATCCAATTGTTAGGTCCAACTAGAGTGGGACCCAAGAAGAAGGGGCAGCTCCACAGAAGGGAGGGACAGTTTTCCACTACCAACTCCCCACAAGGAGCACCTCCTCCTAAGCATGCCAATACAACCAGTTTTCCCTCCATTTGTCCTTCCAAATGGCAACCAGAAGTGACATTGCATCACTTGCTGTTACCATTTTGAAAGAGAAATGGAAGGGTGAAAGTATTTGATGGGGGTCTAAGGGTATTTTGGGGGGATTGGAGATGTGTTTTTTCAATGTTTGCCTCCATTGGGGCTTTAAGTGTGACTTTCAGATATTTTCTCAAGAAAATCATGTCAAATTTGTTTAAAAATGGGGGATTTAAAGGGGCTTTGAGGCTTTAGTGGCCATAAAAGTGGAGTTTGGGGAGCACACACAACCCAAAGGCTGCACTTTCTGAACTCTTGAACTAGGGTAAATATATTAATGACATACCTCCTAACATTTCATAATGAAAACTGGGACATTTGTGGCCAAGCAGCATCTGACTCCCCCTGATAGCATTGATTAAGTGATATTTTTCTTCTTGCCTTTTCCAATATGTTGAACAACTGTCTGTCTATCTATCTATCTATCTATCTATCTATCTATCTATCTATCTATCTATCTATCTATCTATCTGTCTATCTATCTTTGGTTTATATCATGTATATCCTGTGGTAAAGCAGCACTCTTCCTCTCACTGGTAATAAAAACTAGAAGAACTGTTTCAAAAAGAAAAAAAATGGGAGCTTGAGCAAGTTTAGCTGAAATATGATAAAGTTTAACCACACTCTTGAGAACAATGTGCACATGTGTGGAACATGCATTTTGTTGCTGTGTACCTTTAAGTTATTTCCAATTTCTGGCAAACCTAAGGCAAACTATGCTGGCTTTTGGAACATTCATAGACTTACATTTATTAAAATCTCTGCACATGGAACTGGACATCTTGAGTGAGATATGATCAGGCTCTCCCCCCCTCCCATTTAATAACATTTCATTTTGTAGTGTGTTAAACATTAATTTGAATTGCACTGCGAGTGTATAGAATTCCAGGAATCCAGGCCCTCATGGGGCTTATCACATTGCAAAATAAAAATACTTACCTCTGCTGAATTACAATCGATTTCAGGATGCACTCGGGAATTATCACATTAAAAATGCTGCCGAATCCACTGCATCCCGGTTAAATCTCAGCTCTCAGCTGCACACAGATGCCAATGTTTGAAAACAGGAGCTTCCCATGATAATTCCCAAGTGCATACCGAAATCGATTGTAATTCAGCAGGGGTAAGTAGCTTTATTTTGCAATGTGATATGCCCCATAGACGTATAAAGCAAACATTGTTGTGATATCATCATTATAATTTCATTTCATTTCAAATGTATGAAAACTCTAGCACATTAATATATTTAAATAAGAAGATATGATTATTAAGAAGATATTAATTATAAAAATATGAAGAAGTTAATTAATAATGAAAAAC